GCACACACTTTCTTTCTAGTCTCTCTCTTTCGCAACCTGGCGCGCATGTATCCTATTTCTCGGGCACGCACGGGTTCTGGTCAACCTATTCCCGGAGTAGCTTTGTCTCTCTCTAAAAATTCAAGACCTTTCCGCGACCGGTTACTTTCCGAGATCGCGAGGAAATCGGAAGGAAGCAACGCCCATAGTTTAAAACTGATACGCCCCCATGTGTTCGCGCCGCCGGGGATCTTCCGCCCTGGCGGCGGGAACGACGCGTCCTATAAATAGAGACTTGACAGTTTTTTTTTTCATGTGAACTTGCCGACCACAATGACGGCGGCTATGTGACGAGGCTGGGGTCTACACAGCTCCGTGGCGGAAAGGACTCGCGAGGGTTGTGGAGCGGGATCACGGTCAGGGGAAAATGGGGCCAGCTGGGAAGAGATCGAAGAGAGTAGGATGGGATGATGGGGACAAAGGGTCAAAGGGAAAAGAAAAACGAAGCATCCTTCGTAGACCTCTTCAAATGCCCTTATTATACTTACGATCTGGATTTTGTAACCCAATCAATGATACTAGGGTCGGCCTGTATATATTGCACGTGCCCTGACTGATTAACAATATTGAATGCATGTTTGAAGAGTCGTACGACTTATTTACTAAATTATGTCATCTCTACGGTCTTATCACTTGAAATATGCGGTCTTAATGGTGAATAATGCGCAACGATGGCGCGCCGTTTTGGCATAGATGACTTCAAATACAGTTTTTGCTGAAATACTAACCCTCGTGCGTGTCTTTGTAGTAGTTCTCAACGGTAAACCATTTGATCAAACGTATGTGAACACAATATTTTATTCTTATGCTGGGAATCATTGGACTAGATGTATGCATTTGACCGAGAACAAACTCGGCCCTAGAGAACGGCGAAGCTGACGTTCGCCGTCCCCTTAAGACCCAGACGTGTCCTCACCGTCAGGCGTGGCCTGTCATGTTCGATAAACATCGCCGCCAGCTAGCACAAGAAGAGAAAGAAGATGGTGAGAGGGATAATCCAACACTGCGATTCCCCCACACCGAACCTTTCAACTTTGTACGGCAACTACCCCCACTCCTCGCTCACCCGACTTCACCGACTGAGTCGCTGATGTATTTGTGAAATTCCAACTCGCCGTTCTGCTAAGATAACCTCACCAGCGGACTTTTGCCTACAGAAAATGGTTTTCCTGATGAGGCTCTCATTGCTGGTGTGCCTGATTGCGCAAACAAATCGGGACACTGTCGATAATGGTTTGGAGGTATCATTCTAAGAGCCTTTTGAGATGAATCACTTTTCTCGTTTGGGTGCACAAAGTAGAAAGTACCTATAACTCTCTCCCACTCAACACACACACACGCGCACACACACACACACATACGCATACACGCACACACGCGCGGACACACATACATACACACACACGCACACACACGCACACACACACACGCACACACACACGCACACGCACGCACACACACACACAGACACACACACAGACACACACGCACACATGCACACACACTGTCCGTCTTCGTGCATGCATTTCGTGAAAGCGTACGATTTAATTTAGATTCCATAGTTCTCCAGGGATGGAAAGAATGTGTCTTGTACTTTCTTAAGCTCATGGGGGGAGTTTGGGATGAGCTATCCTTACTAGGGCAAGGGGGTAACAAGCTTCTTGTTCCCTTCATGCGAAGTATCCTTCCTCTACAGTTATTGTCATGCAGGGTTCTGCACTTCTGTAACTCTCTCTCGTTCCGTATCTCCGATGTTTACTGTTGGCTGGTGAAGTCCTTTAGCTCATCTTATGTGCAGATCGGTCGAATTGTCAACCCCTCCTCATCTCCACTTCCTTTGTAAATGACAGAACTGCTATATTCGAGATGGGTGTGTTGAAATTAATCTCAATTTGGATAATTACACATGAATTATATATTATAAGGTTATCATTGAATTAATCTCATTTAAGTGATTCACAGAGGTTTAAGTACTTGATATGACGGCATCTTTCATAAGTATAAGCATACATATAAATATATGTAGAGATCAGATCTTATTCTAATTTTATGATGGGTAAATTGAAAAAGTATATCAAAACATAAAGCACCTCTTATCTATAAATAAGGGGTCAGGGTCCTTGGAGCATCTCATCTTTCTTTGAGGAAGTAATTAGATAATTCCTTTGCGTTAGTCCAAAAGGCCAACCTAATTCTTGAGGTTCTATAGATTGATGTATGATTTCTAATCCATTCCCATTTAATTTTATCATTCTCCATTATCTCAACACTAGATCCTTCATTTCCAATAAGGTGAACTACTTATTTTAGTCTTCAATAATCCTCAACCACCTACAGCTAGTTAAGGTAGATCAGTTCACTAGAGAAGTCAGAAATATACCACTTACCTTCAACTTGGATATTAACTTTTGACATGAGCACTTCCTTATAGTAAAAGTAATATTTTAAAAAAAACCCAGCATCGCTCTTTTCTAGGTCAAAGTAGCTATCGACGGTTGAAAAATGCGAACGCGGAGTTGGTGCGTAGATAGGAAGCCACATTAAGGGACGGAGTGGTGGGAAGGAAAATGGTTAGGAAGGAAAAACGATGTGCCATGTGGCGATATGCGCTGCAGAATGGAATTGCTGGCTTCTACTCTTGACCTTCAAAGTACAAGCCACTACAGAAAATCATTGGTTCCGATCTGATTTGATACCTGGACATGATTTCCAAACCCAGACTCACTGAAAACCCGGCCCTTACGGCTTATCCCAAGATCCAATCCAACATTGACAGCGGAGAGTCAGGCCACAGGGCCGAGAAGTGTAGGTAAGGTTAGCTTTGGTAGGGGCTGATAAAAGAATGAAGGACGACGTGATTCCGATGTAATTAACTTCATTTGTAACTCGTTTTACTTGAACGGTGAAAGAACTGGAGAGTGCATGGTGGTTTAGACAGAACTCTTCCCTGGTTTCCTCAGGGTTGCAGGAATGTTTGTCACCTTTTCCGGAATTACGGTCGACGATTTTGTTCCCTCAATACCGCGGCGCACGAAGTCGCGCTCCGGTCCATAAGGAAAAATAATAATAACAAAAATATCATCCACCACTCGCAGGATGCCTCTGCCTGTACTTCTTTCGGTATACATATCGAGCAATCTCTCTCTCTCGCTCTCTCTCTCTCTCGTCTCTCTCTCTCTCTCTCTCTCTCTCTCTCTCTCTCTCGCTCTCGCTCTCGCTCTCGCTCTCCTCTCCCAGTTGACCCTAGGCATCAGTTCGCACAAACCGTCAGAGTGATTCGTCTGGTGTATGCTACCGAAAGGGTGTATACCGGCGTGAAGTCAAGCTGATTATATCAGAATTGGTACAAACTCAAGTGTCTATTAAACGACCAACATTTGCTAAGAAAATTGATAAATTATTTTTTCGTGTACAATCAAAAGGTACATTAAGACTGGAAAAAACTGTTTTCTGACACTTGTTATAGGATATTTTTAAAATTACGAGAAAGCTTCCGTGAGTTTCTCGTATAGATCAATCAATTTTTCTTAATATGCCGACCATCTACTGGGCAAACTCTGAAACCCACATCAGCAAATGATATAGACCAGGCAAATGAAAACCTCCATCTGAACCATGATATGTTAGCAAGGCAAATGAAAGGTAGCATAGCATGATAAATCTACCCACCGCCGATCATTCTGTACAACGCTCACCCTACCTCCAGACGCCCCTCGCGTTTCCCCCCCACGCCCTCCCCCTCTACTTTCCTAAGCCTTTTTGGATTGTCTGGTTTAGCATTTGCGTGAAAAATATCTGATGACTTCAGCAGCGCTCGAATAATATGGGAGCCCTAAGGTTTATCAAAAGACAAAACTGATCCTTCGTTGATGTCGCCTTCCTGTCTCCGCGTGCCCAGTCAATGGCTGCCGTCTTCATTATTACGCGTGTGGCTTCATGAGAACCTTCAGAACCGAGACGACAGTAACGCCGCCGCCACGAGGTCTCGCAGCCGCGGCAGGTGGGTAAATGTTTGCTTATGACAATGGCCCGCGCTTCTTGGACTGGGAAACAACAATTTGAGTACAAAACGACTTCCAAAACTTGGCTTCTCTGGTCTCCGTTCCCGCGCACGAGATCGGAACTAAAATATCCGTTTTTCTCGTCCAATACATGCATAAATATCTACACACCCACGCTTACCTGTGCCCTCCCTTTCAACAAAGTTGCAACTCGTTATCTCTCTCTCTCTCAACGACGAAGTTGGCGCTCATCGTCCGCCCAACACGCAGGCGAGCCCCCACTTCCAGGCCTCCTCAACGACGTTAAATAGACTTGTCCTCCAGATGGGACAACTGCACGAAGAACATGATGAAAGAAATGATCCAGAACAGCAATTCTCCAGCACCGAAGCTTCAAACTTTCTACGGGAATTACCCTGACTCCAGCCACCCCATTTGCATCGAGGTCACCCGATTACGCCGACTGATCCGAAGAGCATTTGTAAAGTGCAAATCGTCCATTTTGTTAACACACCATTGTAGCGTTTCCGTTCAGGAAATGGCTTTTCTCGTGATCCTCCCCTTTCAGAGGAATCAGTTTTCTGATTTGGGTGCACAAGTAAGAATCACCTGCAAGTCCGTTTTTCCCGTCTCTCTCTCTCTCTCTCTCTCTCACACAAACACACACACACACTATCCGGTACATGCAAGGGGAAAAACAGTATTGAATTGAAGATTATCCGGTAATTATGGTCAAAACCATATGCTCATACGCCTTTACACCCGTTGAATCTAAAAAAATGTGTGTACGTCTGCCCACATCGCACAGTAGTACGACAGCGGAAATCTCTCCTCAGGCAGCGTCCACATGGATTTTTATCGATCCTTGAGGTCGACTCATTGCAAGCCTTTGGCGACGGTCCCATCCAGGGTTTTGCAAGGTCGAACCGTGGATAAAAACTCGGCCGTAACCACGCGTGATCACCGGGCTGCTTCCCAGGCGGCGTCGGCTTTTGCCCGGAAGAGCTCCCAGGCCGCCTTGACGTGCCGCTCCTCGGTCAGCGTGGTGCCCACCGCGAAGCGGATGACGTAGATCCCGCCGATGACCGTATGAGTGGCGTAGATCCCGCCGCTGTTGTTCACCTCCTCCAGCAGCCTTCGGTTCGCTGCGTCCGCCTCCGCCTCGCCGTCCGCACCGGCGCGGCGCGGCCGCATGCGGAAGCAGACGAGAGCGAACCGCCGCGGGACGACGACCTCGAACCGGGTGTCGGCGGCGACCATCTCCTCGAAGCCCCGGGCCATCCGGACGTCGCTCCGGATGTGCGACTGCAGGTTCGCGGTGCCGTAGCACCTCATCACCATGAACAGCTTCAGTGCTCTGAACCGCCGGCCGGTGCCGATCTGTTGGCAGAAGAAAAGAGGTCAGACTTTAGATGTGAGCTGCGTTGGAAGGGGAGATACGGAGATTTGAATCGGGAATCGATGGGAATTCCCGCAGAACACGGAGTTTTTCGCTGTTGGAGAGCGGTGAGGGAAGGAAGAGGGCCGTACCTGCCAGTCCTTGTAGTCGACGACGAGCCCGGACTCGGTGGCGCGGTTCTTGAGGTACTCGGGGTCCGTGGAGAGCGAGGTGGTGAGCCGGGCGCGGTCCCGCACCCAGAGGCAGCAGCAGTCGAGCCCCGTGAGCAGCCACTTGTGGGGGCTCATGCTGATGGAGTCGACCCGGTCGACCCCGTCCAGATGGTGGCGGAACTCGGGGCAGACGCAGGCGCTGCCCGCGTACGCCGCGTCGACGTGCACCCAGGCGCCGAAGCGGCCGGCCACCTCGGCCAGCTGCGCCACCGGGTCGACGGCGGTGGAGGAGGTGGTGCCGACCGTGGCGCACACGTAGGCGGGGAGCAGGCCGGCCGCCGCGTCAGCCTCCATGGCGGCCCGCAGCGAGTCGGGTCGAAGCGAGAACAAGTCTTCCCGGGCCGTGGGAATGATCCGGATGTTGGCGGGTGCGATGCCGGCGATCTTGCAGGCCTTGGCGAAGGTGGAGTGGGTCTGGTCGGAGGCGTAGACCACGAGCTTGTCGGCGCCGTCGTGGCCGGCGCGCTCCAGCACCATCTTCCGGGCCGCCACCAGGGTGCACAGCACGGCCTCGCTGGTGGTGGCCTGGAGCACCCCGCCGCCGCCGGCGGAGAAGAGGAAGCCCTTGGGGAGTCGGATCAGCTGGGCCAGCCAGTCCAACGTGAGGCTCTCCAGCTCGGTGACGGCGGGCGAGGAGAGCCAGTTGAAGGCCACGGGGTTGAGGGCGGAGGCCAGCAGGTCGCCGCACAGGGCGGCGGACGACAGCGTGGCGGGGAAGTAGGCGAAGAAGTTGGGGTTGGTCCAGTGGGTCATGCCGGGGAGGACGGTGGCCTGGACCTCGCTCAGCACTTTGGCGAACGGCATGGGCTGGGCGGAGGGGGTCTCGGGGAGGAGACGGCGGAGATACCCGGGCTCCACCTGGGGGACGACGGGGTGGCTCTCGATGCCCTTGTAGTACTCGCAGATGAATTCGACGGTCTGATGGGCCTGCTGCCGGAAATCGTCGATATCCAGAGGGCTGAACCCTCTGGGAGACGCGATGCAGTTAGCATCGAGGCTTCCCATCTCTACTCCTCACGGGAGGGAGAGCCCCTGGACAACTGTCTGGGAAATGGTGTGGGAGAGACAGAGAGGTATAGAGCGACCAGGGATGGAACGCTGGGGTTGTGACTTCAGCGCTGGACGAAGGCTGCCCTAAATAGGGAGAATCGTGTAGAAGACTCAGTATCGACGAAACAGCAAGGTTTGACTCGGAACACAGGAGGTGCCGGACTCTTTCTTGGTTGTTAGCAGCCGCCAAGACTCGTCTGCATGGTAGGATGGTAGGTGTCGACGGCTTATTTTTTTCCTTATCAATAGATCTATTTGCGCCAGGCAGCTTCCTATGGCGGCGTCACATGAAGACCGGGTGGTTGGTGACCGGAAGCGCCGGCTTCACCTGGCCCTCTGGCGTGCTGATTGGCCTTCTCGTCTTTGAGTTTTATCCATCGAATTAAAAGAAAACTTCTGAAACATTTTCCTTGTCGGTAAAAGCACATCACGCCTTGCCACACTCTTTCTTTCCTTGTGGCTTTAGAGTTTTTGCTTTCCTTTCTGTTTCTTGATAGCAGATAACATTTGAAACAAATACGCCGTAGGATAAAACTAAAGACCAGTGGCGCATTATGCACGCGCTCTATCGGTATATAAAATGGGGCGACACTGTCAACAAGATGTACATTATTTTCGTTATAATCTATTGCGTCAATTTCGTCACCCAGCATTTACTTTCTGTTGGGACTTGGGATCGATGCAAATAGTGGGTTGTTGACGAGGTACTTGGTTATTCGGCCGTTTACTAGTTCAAATGCCGGTGTAATGGAGGGGGAGGGTGTAGTACGCCGATTTATGCACTACATTCCGTTATATATGCACACGAAAAATTACATAAGACTATTGAGCTTAACTTAAACTAAGAATGAGGTTTGCATCACTTTCTAACAAGATATGGCTACAAATCCTAGTTCGATTTTTGGATCAAGTCATAATTAGACGGAAATATTGCAACATATATAACGAATATTCTTGAACACCCTGACTCAGCCTATTCAAACCCGAATCTTCGAAATCTCTCGATTTCTTGAACGACTGTGCGGGTGCTTTCTTGCCAGGAGGCTCCACCAACCCCATTCATTGTAAATTATCCTAAGTCTACGCGACGGTTCCACGTGATGACCTGGCCAGATTTTTCTGGATAAGCCTGAAGAGAACCGTTCAGTCTTCACAGCGAAAAGATCCATCTAACCTGTCGTGTTGTACCTCCGCCTTGACAGAACGTTCACTAAAACGAGTGGCGTTGGCGGAGTCCCACGGCAAGAAAGCGTAGTCATTCAAGAAGTAGAGAGCTTAAGAAGATTTAGGTTTGAATGGCTTTATAGGCCGAGTCCCGATTTTAAAGAACCTTCGGGGTATATGTGGTAATATTTCCATGTCTGATTTTGGGGTGATCCATAAATCCAACTAGGATCTTCAGTCGCATCCCCATCGCATGCTTTAACATAATTTTACTTAAAGATGTTCCCCTATATATCTGGGGATCTTCAATGAAACTTCTTTAATAGGTTAAAGAAAAAAATGGGAGATTTGATAGGACCATTAGTTGGACTGCCATATTGAGTCATAGCCGTAAAAAGTGTTTTCAATGTTGAGATTGTTCAGACAATATCAAAATCTACAATACTTTTTGATTGTGATACACCTGTTCAGCGAACCAGTAGTCACACTGCCTGAGCAATGTCTTTATGGCCTGGGACCTCAAGGTGATGGTCCTGCGATTCCCTCTCGTCTGTTTCTGCATGCGGCCACGTTGCGTTGGTTTGGACGGTGAGGTGGAGGCGAACGCAACGAATTGGAGGCCGCTAGAGGAACTGAACAACAACAACGGCATCAACATCACTCGTTTGACCAATGATTGTGACACAGCAATAATGCAGAAGATAAATAACATATAGGGCTTGAATCTATAAAGCCTCAATCTTAGGGAAGAAACCAACCTCTAAATCCATAAATTCGGAGTCTTCAACCTTTGAATCCACAAAGAGGTGTCTGAATTCACAAACAAAAGAAAAAGATTTTTATACTGGAGAAAACTGATTCAACTAAAAAGTGAGGACCTCAAGTTACAATGATGACCTTTATATAGGCTTAGAAAGAAGGTGGGGTGCTTCCAAAAGAAAGATCCTAAATAGAGTGTGACTAGCTTTAAAATGACCCAAAATAAACTCTAATAGATTGAGATCTTAGATAGATCTTTTGGAAATAGTCTTACAAACTCTGAAATTACCTTAAATAAACTCTCATAAATAGAGATGCTAAACAAATCTTGGGTACGTACTTTGATAGTTAAAGATCTTAAATAGATATTAGATACAAACTAATCATACTAAAATCTCTTCTAGAAGAAAAGGGACATAAAGTGACTTCTAGAAGTGAAAGAATATAAAGTAAGAAATAAAATATTATTTTTTGAACCTACAATCCACTAGTCACATATGTGGGCCCCCTTCTCAGCACTCTTCACTTTATGGCATAAATTAAAGATAATTGGACCTAAATTAGATGTTGAGAGCTCAACTTATGTCTTTGACTACATCAGTCTCTCCTTCTTCAAGATAACTCATCCTCGAGTCTTCATTTGAATCATCATAATACTCATATATGTCACTAATATTGAATGTGGGTGAAATAGTTATATTAAGTGGGAGCTCAATAAGGTATATTCTGTCATTGATTTTCTATAGAACTTGATATGGTTTATATTTCTTTGGCTTCAACTCGTTATAGTTACTTGTTGGGAATCGTTCTTTATGAAGGTACACCATAACTTTGTCTCTAACTTCAAATATCTTTTTCCTTCTTTTTTTATCTACTGATGTCTTATATTTCTTATAATTTATTGTGAAATTGTGTATCACACATTCATGAAGTATTTTGATATGATCTATCATACTGTTTATAATTGTACTAGTTCCAACTGACCTCGGTACTTGTAATAGATCTAATAAAATTATTAGAGGAAAATAATATACTATTGAAAATAGAGATTAGTTAGTCAAATAATTAACCATTAAATTATAAGTAAACTCTACTTAAGCTAAATCATAATCCTACTCTTTTGGCTTTTCACATAAAATTCAATGAATCAAATTGCCAAGAGTTCTGTTTATAACTTTAGTTTGGCTATCAATTTCTAGATGACTAGTATTATTGAATTTCAAAAAATTATCAAATATTTTCCAAATAGTTTGTCAGAAGTGAGATATAAACTTAGAATCTCTATCAAATATAATTAACTCATAAATTTCATATAGATTAACAATTTTTTTGAAGAAGTGATTTATTACCTGACTTGTATCATTTGTCTTTTTACATGTAATGAAATGCATTATTTTTGAAAATCTATTAACGATCACAACAACGGAGTTATTGACTGTGAGGTTAATAACTCAAGTTGTTGACTGTGAAATTATTTCATTGATTGTTATGAGATTCTTATTGAAATATGCTTATTGTATAGGGGCTGACTATATTAAGTTCACTATTGGTTATGTCATGGAAACTCTTTTAGGAGTAGTGTCATATACTTTAGGTAATGCCATACCTTTGTTTGATTTAAGTGTGCTAAGTTCTATTCTCCTGCACACCCGCTCTTGCAAGGCTAGCCGGGGGGGGAGTTGCTTTTTGGGTTTGGTTTGCCTAGAAAGGAAGTGTGCTTGCAATGCTTCTAATAACAATTTCGAAGTGCAATATCTTTCTGTTCCAGGGGAACTTCTTTCTTCAACTTAAAAGCTAGGGCTTGTAGTCCGTTAGGATCCTTTTCCAATGGAGATTTAGAGTGTCCCTCTCCTTGATTATGTTTACACTGAAATGAATCTTTCTCCTCAACATTGACTGGACACAGTTTCCAACTTGACCGACCTAGGTTCAATTGTCAAAGTGTAGGCTCTAGAAGTGATAGAACTTGGACTTGCCCCATTTCCCAATGTGGAAATTGTAACCCTTCTCTATGTTCACAATAGACTTAATATAAAGTCCATAAAATATTAGCTCATGGATGTTGTGGAATCAATAATGGAGTGTATAATTCAGTATTTTGACTTTGTCTCTCATAGATTTGACAAACCTAATATTTACAAATAAAATTTTCTACATCTTTCTTTAGTTTGAATCAATAATACTATTCTTTAATTGATTGTAAGGTCTTGTCTTGATCAAGGTGTCCAACTAAGCCTAAATTCATATACTAGTTTCTCTCTTAGAGAGTTGTGAGGAATAGATAGTTGTGTTCCTCAAAATAATAAACCATCATGTAGGTGAAAACTTTTAATTGATATTTCAAGCATACATGTCATATATTGTTGAGAAAAATCACCATCTTCTAGGTATAGTTCTTTAGATAGTCAAATCATGCGATCTCAACATGCAGGTTCACCAAACATGCTATTTTTCTATTAAGAGCGTCTACAACTCAATTTAATTTTCATGACTTGTTTTTAATAACAAAAGTAGAATGTTGAATGAAAGAGATCAATCTAGCATATATTATATTAATAGAAGCCTGACTATTGTCTAATTTAAGAGCCTCATGAGAAGTATATAAAATAAACTCTTGTTGAATCAAGTAGTGTTCTTATGTTTGTAAAGCATGGACCATAATATAAAATTCTAGTTCAAATGTTGTCTATTTTTTCTTACGTTAGAGAATTTTTTGTTGAAAAAGAGTTTTGGCCAACCTTCTTGTCATAGTACACCTTTGATGCTAACTACATCACATTCTACTTCAAATAGTTTATCAAAATTTGGTAGAGCTAAAATAAGAGCAGAACATAATTTTTCTTTTGTTATAGTAAAACTATTATTAGTTTCATTAGTTCATTTAAGATTACCTTTTTCATGCATTCAGTAACTAGAGCCATTATTGAGCTAAAATTTTAGATAAATCTTTTATAAAATGATGTCAAACTATGAAAGTATCAAACCTGATGAATTGTAGTCAGTGTTGGCCAATCTTTAATAGCTTTAATATT